CCCTGGGTAGAGTGCTGGGGCATCCCAGCTCACAGCAACCTCAAACTCTTGGGCTTAAGCAATTTTCTCGCCTCAGCCTCCCAAGTAACTGGACTATAGGCACCTGCCAAAACGCCCTGCTAACTTTTATTTTTTTAGAGATGACTTCTTGCTTTGGCTCTGGCTCTGGCTCAGGCTGGTCTCAAACTCTTGAGCTCAGGCAATGTACCTGGCTTGGCCTCCCGGAGTACTACGATTACAGGTGTAAACCATTGTGCCTGGCCTTGTAGTAGATTTTTAATAGTAGCATTTATAGGATAACTGTTTCTTTCTATTCCTAATTTGCTAAGAATTTATATCATGAATGGTTATTAAACTTTACTAGGAATATTTTTCTTACATCTAGTAAGATTTGTGTTCTTATGAATGTGATAAATTATATTAATTGATTTTTCTGTTGTTAAATCACCAAATATTCCAGGATAAACCACTTGACTGAAATATAATTCTTTTAAAATGTACTGCTAAATTGATTTGCTAATATATTATTTAGTGTTTTTTAGTGACATTATAGTAAGATTATATTCAAATTGAGTGACTTTTTCTATACTTTGAGATAGTTGTCAAGGTTGGAGATTATTTGTTATTAAAGGTTTGGTAACATGACCTTTAGATCTGTTTTCTTTTTCTTGAGGGAAGAATTTTGATACTATTCCAATGTGTTAAATCTTAGTTTATATGGATAATACATTTCTTCTGAAGTCAATTTTGGCAAATAGTATTTTTCTAAAAAATTTCTATTTTTCAATTTATTGTTGTAAAGTTAATTTTTTTCTTATTCAAAAATCACTGTTTTGCCTTTAGTCATTCCACTTCATTCTTAATATCTTTCATTTGTACTTTTCTTTTTTCCTCCCTAGAGTAGTGAAAGGTTTATCTTTATTTTTTTCTTAGTCTTTTCAAAGAACCATCTTTTGGTTTTATGGAACTCTGTTCTTTTGCTGCTTCAATGACTTTTGCTCTTACATTATTTCAAACACACACAAGTTACAACCACAGTACAGAGAACTTTTCCATATCCTTTACCCAAATGCACTGTCTGCTTTATCATTTGTATTCTCTTTCTGCCCGTATATATCCACATGTGTGTGTGTGTGTGCCCTCTCTGTGTGTGTATTTACTAATTTTTAGTCTGCTTGATAACATCCGTTTCTTGGATGTGTTTTAATCTTCCATTATAGGCCAGGCACAGTGGCTCATGCCTGTCATCCCAGCACTTTGAGTGGCCAAGGCTGAGAGATTACCTGAAGGCAGGAGTTCAAAACCAAACTGAGCAAGAACAATACCCCGCCTTACAAAAAATAGAAAAATAGAAAAATTAGTCATATGCATGGTGGCACATGACTATAGTCCCAGCTGATCAGGAGGCTGAGGCAGGAATCACTGGAATTTAAGTGAACTGTGATCATGTCCTTATACTATAGCTGTGATGTCAGAACAGGACTGTCTCAAAAACAAAAATAGAAACCTCCCGTTTTACACTGTGGATATAGCTTTTTGTTTTTTTTTGAGACGGTCTCACTATGTTGCCCTCAGTATTATTTCATGGCATCACAGCTCACATCAACCTCAAAGTCTTGGGCTTAAGAGATTCTCTTACTTCATCCTCCCAGGAGCTGGGACTACAGGCCCACACCACAACGCCCAGCTATTTTTTTGTCATTGTTGTCATTGTTTAGCAGGCCCTAGCTGGGTTCGAACCCACCAGCTCCAGTGCATGTGGCTGGCACCATAACCACTGGACTATAGGCGCCAAGCCTTATGGATATAGTTTATTTTATTTATTCATTTATTTTTGAGACAGAGTCTCACTTTGTCACCTTTGGTAGAATGCCATGGAGTCACAGCTCACAGCAACCTCAAATTCCTGGGCTTATGCGATTCTCTTGCCTCAGCCTCCCAAGTAGCTGGGGCTACAGGCACCCGCCACAACGCCTGGCTATTTTAGTGGGGTTTTTTTTTATTTGCAGTTATAATGGTTTTGCTGAATTGTGTATTATCAGGTGCACAGAATTTCTTCATTGTTATATCTTCTTTATGAATTTTGCTTTTAATCATATTTTGAATTGTATTGTTTCACTAGCTTTCTTCTGGTAAATATTTAACTATTATATTTTTTCCCATCCCTTTATAGTCAACTTTTCTGTGTTATTTTGTTTTAGGGTGTCTCTTGTAAGCAACATATAGCTGGACTTTGTTTTTTTAATCCAGTTTGATAGTATCTCTCTTTTATAGGTGAGTTGAATACTTTTATATTTACTGTGATCACTGGTGCATTTGAACATATTTCTTTCATCTTATGTATCCTGCTCATCATTTTTTTCCCTTCGAATCTTTCTTTCTCTTTCCTGTCATCTTTTGTATTGACTGAATTTATTCTGCTGGTTTACAAACCATTGATAATAGTTTTTTTTTTTTTATTTTGATGATTATCCTTAATATTTTCCTTTTTTGAAATTTTATATTTATTGGATGTTCTTAAAATAGCAAAAGTAGTACATGTTTTTAACAAATGTAAAAACATGGACATCCCTCCTAATGTCCTTCATTAATTTCTGTCTCCCTAAAGCAGAGGTCCTTAACTGAAGATGATTTTGTCCTCCAGGGGACTTTTGGCAACAGAGACATTTTTGGTTGTGACAGGTGGGAATGGGGCACAACTGGGATATGGTAGGTAAAGGCCGAAGATGCTGTTTAACATCCTATAAAGAACAGGAGGACATGGCCTGAAGCAGAGAGTTTTCTGGTCCAAAGTGTTAACAGTGACAAAGTTGAGAGGACCTGCTCTAGATATTATAATAACATTAACAATAATGTTGGATATCTAATAATATTATTCACATTATATTGTAAGATTTTTATTACCTAAAATATAATAAAAAAAACCTTTGATAGCAGTTGGTTTGTTCCAGGCACTTCTAGTATGTTCCGTCCTTGCAGCAAGCTCATAAGGTATGTACTGTTACCTCCTACCCAGAAGGCATAGTACCTTGCTAGTGATGTAGCTACTGAGTACAGAACTGAATTGAAACCAGACAGTCAGTCTTCAGAGACTGTGTTTTCTACCTATGTAATAATATGTGATAGAGCACTCCACAAGTCTTTATATCTAAGTTTTTCCCCTTATCATAAATTTTTGTGTGTAGAGATATAGTAGTTATAATAGAAATGTAGGTGTCTATGTGTGTTTATACAGACATACTTTTTTTTTTGCAGTTTTTGGCTGGGGCTGGGTTTGAACCTGCTGCCTCCAGCATATGGGGCCAGCAACCTACACCTTTGAGCCACAGGCGCCACCCCCAGACATACTTTTATATATAATATATACAAACACATTT